CGTTTGTACGGCATCCGAAAACCGTCGACCCATACTATAGAAGATATACTCTAACGCATTGATAATAAAAGGAATTGCAATCAACTAATCATGACCTGCGTAAGCAAAACGAGTGATCTAATAAATTGGTGGATATAGTTGCTTTTGATCAGGTAGCAACAAACTGTGAGATACTGGTGACACGTGTAATGCTTGATCACGGCATGATTAGTAAGTCCTCATGACTATGAGAAGCTAGGACATATTCTCCGATGGAACTATGACATTTCTAATTGGTACTCGAGATTCAATAAGAATATGCGTATGCAAAAAATCTCAAAACCACTAACTGCTTCACATAGATAGGTCGAGGCACTCGTAAACCTCGTGAAAACATATCAGACTCAGTCGCGTTTGCATTCAGTGTTACTGCTTCGAGCAATACCGATGGTGGCCTTTCAGGTTCTTCATCGAATTGCCCGACATCTTGAGAACCACTCGACGAGGGTTGTCCACATTCGAGAATCGTTTGCAGCTGTGATTTATTAATATTAACCATTAATTACTGGACGCAGAATATGATTGCAACATTGTAACACAGTGTAAGATTTTATAACAATGCGGCATCGTTAAGCTATATGATTGGATGTTGTTCACGGATAAGAGTGGCCAGACTGGTAACTGCTCGGCAAAGAATTCAGTTTTAATACTTAAATTGAACTTTAATTTCGATATGTTGAACACCTCTGAGGGATGAGTTCAGATGGGATTCAAACCAAGCTCATTGGAGGCAATTGCATCGTAAAAATAGAGCAAACCTGTTCTCGATCACTTTCATTCAACGAGCTGGCATGCTCTGCGGCCGTCTCTTCGATTTTCTTCAACAGTGGCTTCTCCCAACTGATCGCATTTCGATTCCTCGGCGCCACTCCAATAACGGTTTGAATCGCTGAATTTGCTATATTGCCGACATCGGCACCAAAACCAACAAACTGACCTCCAGCCATTTCCTGTAAAAAAGTATCCGTATGGCCCATATCATTGACAATGACATCTGAAAGAATCCAGTTGATTTATAGGCTAAATTAAACTATTCATTTACGAATTTAACGAGATTCTATCAATTTAGAACCACTGATAAGTTTGGTCGTTGATCTCTTGTGAAATCAGCATTTTGGAATCGAAACAAATGAATTGCATGTTTGATCAGAACCTTGCAAGAAATCTAATAACATTCATTTTTCCGTTGAGAACAACGACAATGAACAGCGCGTGTGAGAAAAAAAAGCAAATTTGCAATGCTGTTTGGAATGTTATTTGTTGAAGGAGTACATCATTTCTGAGCAATAAGCGTATTTGCTGAGCTTTAATATCTAAATGCTGTTTGGTTTCTTCACGGTTTTACCTACGTGATTAGACAGCGAAATACACAATAATTCAGTCATCCATTTAATGGATAGACCGTCATTCCAGGGAAGATTTGTTTAATTTGTTTTAACTGATGAGTTTTTCTCTCGTTCAATTCGTTCACCAAACTTGAGTCGCATATCCATACCATATTCTCTCTGAATTCGTTCCAACCCGATGGAACGATGATTAA